ACACTGTGTTGCCCTTTGGTCTTCATGGGGCACCTGCAACTTTTCAAAGGTTGATGGACATTATCCTTAATGGTTGTTCCATGTTTGCAGCTTGCCTACCTGGATGATGTGGTGATTTACAGTGAGTCTTGGGAGGAGCACCTGTAGCATCTAAAGGTTGTGATGGCAAAGATCCAGAAGGCTGGTTTGACTGTGAGCAAGTGTGCCTGGGCACAAGAAGAAGTGAAGTATCTAGGATACATTGTTGGTTATGGACAAATAAAGCCACAAGCTGAAAAAGTAAAGTCTATACAAACAATCTCCAGACTCAAAACCAAGAAGCAAGTGAGGTCGTTTCTGGGCTTGGCTGGCTGGTATCGGAGGTTTATTCCCCATTTCTCAACCTTGGTAGCGCCTCTTACAGATCTCACGAGGAAACACACTTCTAAAGTGATGTGGAATGATGACTGTGAACATGCCTTCCAATCTTTAAAGAGACAGATTTCTGAAGCCCCTAATTTGCAAAGCCCTGATTTTTCCAAACCATTTGTTGTACAAGTCGGTGCCTCTAATGTTGGACTTGGAGCAGTACTGGCTCAGGGAGAAGCTGGTGAAGGAAAACCTGTGCTTTTCTTAAGTAAAAAGCTGTTTGACAGGGAGAAAAAATATTCTACAGTAGAAAAAGAAGGACTGGCAATTAAGTGGGCAATTGATTCGTTGAAATATTATCTCCTTGGAAGAGAATTTATTCTTCAGACAGATCACAGACCCCTGGTGTGGATGCACTCCAAGCAACATCCAAATGCGAGGATACTGCGCTGGTGCCTAGCCCTCCAGCCATACCAGTTCACCAGCATTGTCCGGGTAAGAAGAATCTTATTGCTGACTATCTTTCCTGTTTGCTGGATATGTGTCGACCAGAAAGGGGGGGAAGGGGGGGTAGTGAGTAATGTTGGGAAGCACTAATGTAGCAGGTTACCTCTGTGGCAGCCATCTTGTTTTCCCAGTAAAGAGGAGGCCTGCCTCAACTGCAGCTCTTTTATAGGCCAGTCTGAATTGAGAAGGCGTGGTCTTTAGAGTATTTAAAGTGGGCAGGAAATGGATTGGGGGCCATTTTGAGAAGATGCTGTCTGTATGTGCATGATATTGGCGAGAGATAATAAAGCAATTACTTCAGTTAAGATAGAGTGAAGACTGATGTTTCCCTCACCACACCTCTCTGCGTAACAGCGGTATTGTGCCCAGCTGGTCCTTTCCTCCCCATCCCTAATTACATCCCTCCTCTCGTTCCATCAACCCACTCATGCAGGACCTTGGGATGCAGGTGCATCACTGAGGTGCAGGGGAGGTCCTCCTTCTCTCTGCCCCCATGGCCGTCTGTGTCTCAATTTTACTTCACAACTTAGGCACTCTCATTCATTACATTCTCAAGACACGTACATATAGGGTCTTAGGGGTGGACACACTGAACGACATCCAGAGGGGGATGTATTCATTCAGCCTCACCTCTGGAGCCGCTGTGCGCTGGTCAATTTTAAATTGCATGTGGACATTGAGGGTTCTGGACAGGGGCCATCTGCGTGTCTCTCTGTTGTTTGTCTTCATGTTGGGTGTGTATGTGTGCATGAGGGTGGGAATGCATGCTTGTGACTATGTGTGTGTGCTTGTTTGTCTCCCCACTGGGTGGATGCTCTGTTGTGTGCTGGCTCACTCCCAGGAGCTGCTTGGCTGCTCAGCCCCCTGGCTCTGTCAGATCCCTGCTGGGGGCTAAGGTGTTCTTGGGTCTTGGGTCTTTGGATGACTGTGGTCCGGGTCTACTCCATGCCTGCTTCAGGTCCTGGGAGGCGGGGCTGTGGCTCCCCACACCCACTATAAGACACTACATGGAGAAACCTCACGAACATAAGCACACTCACACACACACACCCACACAGAAGTGTACACAAGTGTTCACATAGGTGTACACACAGGTACCCACAGACACACGCTATCTTGCAGTACTACTGCCTGTAAAAATATCTTGTATTATCAATACTGTGTGATTTTTATTAACATTGTCATTGTTATTTATGCATATGTTTGCAATTGCTGTGCTGTTCTAATAAAATATATCACTATCTAGTGGACTATTATAGCGAATAATGTTTTTATCTTGCAATATAAAGAGCCTTGAGGCAACTGCTGTTGTGATTTGGTGTTTTATGACAAAAAATTAATTTAAACTGAATAAAAGTGAGGGGAAACTTGTTGAAAATGCTCAGCAGAATGTCTGCAAGGATGCGGGCCCTGTGCCAAAAATTAAGACAAGGGAATGAAAAATAAATGAATGAATAAAAAATGCAGAGAGAAAGGCTGTTTTATAGGAAAGTATTGTTGTTAGCTTAGATTTGTTTTACGACTGACTGTGAATTAGTGACTCATCTAACAATTTTGATTAGTTTATTGAAGCCTTTTGTTTGGTCCTTTGACTTACCAGTTTTGCTCTTCCTTTTAAACTTAAGCTTAACACTGATCGATTTGGTGTAAGTCATGCTTTTCCACTAGACTACCAGGGTATAGATTAGCCTGTAACCAATCACCTGCTTTTCATTAAATTGGCTTTATTCTTGAATTAAACATTGCAGTAAGATGCTTAATTTGGGGGTAAAGTGGTGTTTTCTCCTTTTGTGCAAAGGTCTGCCAATATTGAGTTCAAAGATCTTGGCTCCAACCTGATGACCACACCATACATAAGGAACCAGCTCCCAACCAGCAACACAAGTGGTTTTCTGCAACTTCTGCTGTGAGCTTTGTGCTCAAACTTAAAGCAGGCATAGGCCTTTTTATTTTGGTAAGGTATTTTGGAAAGGTAAGGTAAGCCTTCATGTTTTAGTTGGTTTATCTTGTTTGGGACTTGTGGACTGATTTGTTATTCTGGCCCTAACTTACCCCAACACTAATTTAATCTCCTATGTTTGTAAAAGTGTTGATTAATAAATAAAACCTTTATTCATCATTAGTTAGCTGTTCATGAGGCTGCTCTGGGAAAATGGATGCTTTTCATTTTGCATCTCAGCCCCCTTAAACCGGGCATAAGAAACCTACTGAAAATATTTTAGAGACAAAGCTGTACCAGCCACAGCAGATCTACCTACTAATCACAGTACCTTTTAGACCCTTAAAAAAAAAGAAGCTCACATAAAGCAGTTATTTTCCCGTGCCACACGTAGTCCTTTTTGTATGAGGCCCAATGCTGCCAAATCACACGCGTGACGGACATCTGCACCGCGTTTATGTAAATAACTCCTTTTGTTCTGCTGCAGGACATGCTACAGCCAGAAAATACACAAAGCCTGGCATTTCTGCTTTGTGTATGACATTTACAAAGGGACAGCTAAACACTGAGGCTGTGTAACCCATCGGAGACTCCAAAGACCGCGTGCCGATTGAACTGTCATTGTGCCACAGTAAACCCCATTTTACTTTTTTTTCCTCTTTGATTTCCACCGCCTCACTTTGCTGCCACATTTTCTGTCGACCAGCTCATGGACAGGCGATGTGATGCGCAGCCAATGACGGGAGGTGATACCACAGCCATGATGCACCTGTGCTGCTTATAACAGGATGAAAACCCATGGATGTCACCAGCTTTTATGGTTCATTCCCTGCAAATGTGGCTTCACTCTTGGGGGGAGAAGGACGGGTATCTTTCTTTTATCCAAAATGACTGCTGGCATGAAATATAAGGCCTATAAACAATCTCTGACATTTATATTTTTTTTACTTTGAATTGCTGATTAAAACAAGAAGCTGTTTTATTTTTGTTCAGCTTCATTGCCTCCAGTTATTTTGACAGAAATGTGTGTGCTTGGAAATGGTCTTCAAAACAATATTTTTGTTATCATTTGTCAGGTATGCAGACACAGGAAATTTTCTTGTCTGTACAGTGAGAGGAAGGACTTTATTGGACTCCTGGCAGCCATTGTGTAGTCTTCCAGTACATTTTCCCCCATTAAAGCTGCAAATTTGGCTCCAAGTTGTAACATCAAACGTTACAAAAACCTCCATCAGAGGAAAGTACAACAGCAGTTATTCCCTGTTGTAAGCAGAAAAGCATAACTAGAACCATGAATACATTTGCATAACATTTTTAAATAAATGTTGAACTAAACAATCTCTGACCTTTTTCAGCCCTATCGCTAAAACCAATTACTGCAGTTATTTCAGTCAGTGCATTGTGTTTATTTCCAGGTGTTATTTTGTTTAGTAGAGGAAATGTTTTTAAGAAGAGAGCAAAAGCTGTGGAGAGAGAGCTTTAATTGGCTAACTGCAGGTCACCGAACAAACCCTTCCAACCTACAAAGCAGCACAAAATCCATGATCATCTTCATCAGTATGTTTAGATGTTTGTTTTTTTTTCTTTTGATGATTTGAAAGCCCATAGGCTGTAGGTCATGGACTCTGCCACTGTGTCACCAAATCTGTTTATAATTTCTATGAACTGGAGCGGGTTGCAGCTGAGCATGAAGCATCTCCCAGTGCTCACAGATGGGAATTTACTTATTTTGGTTTTCTTCATGAGTGAGGTGAGAGTGGAGCAGTCACAATCTAGTGACCAAAAGAATATACAGAAGATACAAGCAATAGGAATGAAGGTTTTTTTGTAGGTTGTCTGAGCTTCTCCCAAACAAACGAGCTCCTTCTTGAGCCCAGAGTAGAGCTGCTACTCCTCCACATTGAAAGAAGGCAGTAAAGGTGGTTTAAGCGTCTGACCGGGATGCCTCCGTTTGGGGTATGTCCTACTGGGAGGAGGCTGGAGAGGTTACATCTCTTGGCTGGTCTGAGAATTCCTCGGTGTCCCACTGGGGGAGTTGGAGGAAGTGGCCGGCAGAGGGAGGTCTGGTCATGTCTAAATGAAGACCAAGATGTGAGGTTGATATGGAAAATTCCTAGGCTCATTACATTGATGCCACTAAAGCATCTTTTTTACTCCAAGGATTCACGTTTACATGCAAATGAGGCCATAACATTGGCCTGTTATTAAAGGTGCTTCCAGATTAGTTAAGACTGATGTGTACTATGTGGAATCATCCAAGCACTACCAATACACACGTGTTCTGGTTTTGGTATGGCTACTTTTCCACTTTTAACACCAGACCACATCTTTTTATGCCTGAGCTGGATCCAGTGTGGATTACAAGTGTGCTCCAAAACTTCCTTTGCCTGTTAGACGTGGGAATGCTGCACACCATCAGAGAGTGTACGGTCCATCAAGCCCGCAGAACAGAGCCGGACTGGAATTTTTCAGTTCATGAACTGATGGCATTCATTTCAATCCTGTTTGTAAGAGCAATCATGTGTCCTGTTGGTGCCATTGTGGATTGCTGGTCAGAAGGATTTCTGGTGCTAGTAATCAAAGAGACAATGCCCCGAGATAGATTCATTTCAATTATGCAACACCTTCGATTTGATAACAAGGACCCGCGGGCAGAACGGGTGAAAACAGACAAATTTGCGGAGATCTCCGACATCTGGACATGCTTCAACGAGAACTGTGCTACACATGACCATAGATGAACAACTGTTCCCTACCAAGGTTCGTTGTCCATTCACACAGTATATCGCAACCAAGCCAGACAAATTTGGGATCAAGTTCTGGATGGCCACAGACTTGGACACCAAATATGTCTGCAGTGCATCTCCTTACTTGGGAAAGGATCATCAGAAGGGAGAGAGGCTGGCAGAGAACGTGGTCATGAAACTGATGGAGCTGTTTTTGGATGATGGGAGAAACGTCACAATGGACAATTTCTTTACTTCACTGTCACTGTCGCACAGACTGCTGCAGCGCAAAACAACATTACTGGGCACGGTGAATAAAGTGTAAAATAAAAGCGTGAACTTCCTCAACTTGCGCAGATGTATTGCGTAAGAGCAGCAACACGCAGGTGGCCAGTAGCAGTTTTCTACAATATGCTGGACCTGGCGGCTGGGAATGCCTACATTTTGTACATGGCATGTACAGGGTGGACAGGCAAAAGAAGATTGTTTCTGAGTCTTCTAGCTCAGGAACTTCGTTGCCGATTCATGCAGCACAAGGAAATATTAGCACAGGCTGCTGAAGCTGCTGCAGCTGCTGTGCCAGGGACTGGAAAGACAACGCAGTGCCAGGTGCAAGAGAGCTGCAACAGGAATCGCAGCAGGTTTACCTGTGCAACATGTCAGAAATTCACCTGTGCCAAATGCAGGGATGATGAACACTGGGTCTGCAAACGCTGTAAAGTTTGAAACACTTTGAAATAAAACAGACTTGGTTACCCATATATTGTGAATGTGTGTCTTTTGTATCGATATGGCAGGAATTTCTGAAGGTTGTAACACAGAGGTTTGGCCTGGCTTGGATCTGAGCAACTCTGAGTGAGCAAATGCAAATGTGCCAGGGCTCAAGGATAATGGGTGGTTTGCACAACAAAAGCTGGAGGAGGAAAGAGCTGACGACCTGTGAAAATCTCAGCAGGGGTGATTAACACCTCGGGACATCCACCAGAAAATAAAAAAGCCAGTAAATCTAGTAGGTGTTGGGTTTAGGGAAGTTACGCAAATTTGCGCAGGTTTAGTAAATCTAGTGTTAACTAACTTATGTCCAGGTCTCAATTTTGTGACTTTGTATAGAATTGGACATTGCATATTTCAACATCAATATCAATGAAATGTATTTCTATAGCTTTCTATAGCTATTTGAAACCAAAATATTTGCATGAATCCCAGTGCACAAAAAACTTCCTATTGAGTTTAGAAAAATGTAAATAATTATATTAATAAAGAAGCAGAGTATACTGAAAGGCTCCGTACTCATAAGATGTGTAGTAAACCAGAAGCCTTTTGTATTTTAATCAATTA